GGCGCCGACTTAGCCTTTCTAGGAGGGTGCCCGATGCTATGGGGACAGTGCCCGGGACACAATCCACTGTCCACAGGACGTGGGTGGAAATGCAGATCCAGGGGCCGAGAGCAGTGGGGAAATGGTAGGTGACAAAGGTCCCAAGGACCCCATCTCCCTTGTCTTCAGGATTCTGGCCACACATGGAAGGAGGTGAAAGGTTCACATTTCCCTCGGTTAGGAGGGCTGCTCCATTTTTATTAGGAGTTAAAAACACAGGGGTTCCTCAGGTTTCCATCGTGAAGGATGACACCCCCCCCACACACACACACACACATACACACACATGCACTTTGAGCCCTGGCAAGGGAAGAGTTGGGAAATATGTAAAAGGGAAAGCTGGTGAGGGTGGGAGAGACTCAGAGGACACCCACAGCAAGAGCCGCCTCGGTCCCCTGGACATCAGACAGTCCTGGGCATGCTGACCGGCGGGGTCACGTGGAGAGAGCTTCACTTGCATCTCATGGGATTTGCTGAATCTGCATCTCAGGGGTGTCCGCTCACTGCGTGTAATCATGGTTCTGGTAGGAAATCTGAAGCATTGTCCAGTCCTCTTTGGCTAAAACTAACCTTTCACAATGAGTTACTGATTTTCACACACACACACACACACACACACACACACACGATTTGCTTGACTTTTGGGGTAGAGAAGTTAACTTATGAGTTATTTTTCTAATAGCTTATTTTCATCTGTCATGTTTTAGGTTGAACCAGTTGCGTTCTGGCTGTTTCCTCTGTCTATTCAGATAGACCAACCCCAGGCACGTTACACAGTACATACCATGCTGATTGTGCAGTTGGGTGGGCTCTGACTGAGGGGCCTTCTGTGATGGAGACAAGCCAGCCCACACCGCTCCCTAGCCTGGGCCCTAGGCTGCATGGGCACAGAGCATCAGGGTTGTCTCTCTTGCTGAGCAACTAGTGGGTTTAAAGTGCCAACCTTTTGGCTAGATGCCATCAGGGCCCCTATAGATGCTATCACACAGGATGGTTTCTCTCAACTATCAATGAAAAGACTGCTTTTTTAATAAAGTTCCGCAGATCATAGACATACTTTTCTATGTGTCCATTTGGTCATCAGAAGGACTCTCCTATTCCACCGGTGGTAACTCTCTCCGAGCCCTGAGAATTAAGACTTGAATTGTAACAGGACTCTGTCCTCATTTTTGCTCAAAACATTACTTTACACATCTACAAGGGTTCATGGTAAACACCGAGAGAGACATGAGTTCTCGAGGTTCTCTGAGTCCCAGGAAACATGGAGGTTTGGTGGATGAAGTTTTGAGCAAGTGAAAGGCTCCGTGTTAAACATGGACTTGAATGTGGGTCACTTCTTTTGAAAATTCAAGAGTTTGGGAGGACGTGGGAAGCAAAGCACCTCAGATGTATGGACTGTCAGTAAGGAAAGGAGACAGTGCAGACCAGTGGATACTGTCTGTGTATGTTTAGAAGGCCACAAGGAACTCGTTTGCCCGAGTGCTGAACACACAATGCTAAGGAAAAAAAAATAGGGAAATAGATGTTTTGGGTGGTTTATCAGAAAGTGCATTTGATAAGGGAAATCCCTGAAAGCGTCCCCATCGGACGCCTTTTCACCTCACCTAGACGTGGACCGGTTGGTGGCCAAAGGACTTGTCAGTGATGTCATTAGCTTACAGATGGAGCCTAGGACTTGAGGCATTTGATATTCAACCGATTATAATTGCATAAGCCTGAGTTTCAGATATAACAAACAAAGAAAGAAAACAAAATAAGAAACAGTTATCATCACCTCAGTTTTGACTCCAGGCAACCCCCGGAGGTATCCGAGTAAAACTATGTTTCCCGGAGCCTTCCAACGGCTGATTGAAAAAGTAAACCGAGCCAGGAGCCCTTTCTTCCACGGCCCCACCGGGTAAACTCAGACCTCAGACTGGGCACTACCCAGCCGCTGCCTCTCAGGGAATCCCAGCCAGTGCCCGGCACCTGCCCCGGGGTCCCTGTGTGCCCTTGCTACTTTCAGGGAAGCTTCCAGACGCAGACCGTCTCGGGGGGGCGGGCATGGTGACGTGCTTCTGGAAACCAGCCCCTGAAGACCCTGACACAGCCGCTCAGGGCGACAGTTAGGCGTGGTCCCCTTGTGCGTGAGGCTGCAGTGACCTGGGTGCCAACTACTCAGTGGCAGTTGACCACAGCCACCGGCCCTAGGGACGATGTCACTCAGATGCACTTTGCGCTGACTTTACCGGAAGGACCTGAGCAAGCAGATTTCAAAAAGGCTCTTCACTGTCGTTTTTGGGTTTTTTTGCTCTGCATCTTGACAGCTAGCTGTGATGCATCGTGGGCGTGATGGCGAAAGCTTGTGGTCTGACACCATGACAGGCCACTGTGTGGGGCTGCGGTGCTCCCGCCTGGGCCGTGGCCTCTCTACATCCCTGGCCTGCGTACCAGCTTCCTGTGGGGGCGGCTTTCTGGCACCTGTCTGTCTCCCATTCACTTTACCAACCTCCACAATCCCATTTTCGGACAATTATTTTGAGGCAAGCCGATCGCTCTGCATTAAGAGGGTTATGAATTTTAAACTACTACCTAGGAGGAAACTTAATAGCAAAATCTACCTCCTGAGAGGCGTGATAAAGAAAATGATTTTTCACCTATTCTCACTTCAGCCTCAGAACATCCCCAGTTAAGAATTAAGCAATATTAATTTAAACGAGGCAGAATGCAAATCTGAAGAATGGGTTAATTTATTTTATTTTATTTGGTGGGGTGGGGGGAGGAACGAGGAGCTGATACCAAGGGCTCAAGTAGAAATAAAATGTTTTGAAAATGATGATGGCAAAAAATATGCAAATGTGATTGACACAATGGATGTATGTATGGATTGTGATAAGAGCTATAAGAGCCCCCGATAAAATTATTTTTTTTAAATGGGTTAATTTAAATAGCCTCTCACTCTCCCTGAAAACAAATGTGGAAGCATGCCATTGCTCCTTATGGCCTCCAGGTGGTGGTGTTTACCCAGACATGGAAAGCAGGAGCCCAGCCCAGCTCCTTCCTTGAGGTGTACCTCTGGACTTCGCCCAACCAACCCTCCCACCCGCCCCCCAGCACCCCCCTGGAGTCTTTTCAGTTTCTACAGATGTGTTCTTTTAAATGGTCAATAAAGTCTTATAACCTCTGGTTGAAAAATTGCAAGGTTATTATGATGTGTGCCTCTTAGCTAAGAATCTTTCTTTATGTGCCGGACATACCTTCAGTGTGATCATTGCCCGCGCCTCCTTGACCCTTACCGGCTACTTAGCACTCAGGCTCAAGCACACGCAGTCGGGCTGTCAGTAGCCCTGCCCAGGTCTCTCTAAAACAGCCGTGTGACTTAAAAATAGATGTCTAGTTCAGCTAACGCAGCTCAGCTCCGCGGGATTTGAAAGAAAGCAAGAAGAAAGTCTGTCTTTCTCTGAGCGCTTCTGCCCCCGACCACTGAGTGTTCCCAGCAGGCCTGACCTGGTTTATGGGCAAGGGGGCGCCTGCCAGATACCAGCAGTGTTTTGAGGTCACCTTTACAATGACACCTGAAATCCAATCCAGATTCCTCAGAAACGTGTTGCTGGGGGCAAGGGGCAAGATAAGCAGGCATCATAAGCAATTCCTTTCCATTTAGGATAGCTTTCTAGGCAAAGGTGGAGCCACGGAGGGAGTGCAGTGGTACCAATTTCTCCTCCAGTGTAAAGCTGGGATTTTCAGTACTGGCTGTTAAAGCGTAACACACTAACATTTCTTTCTTGCCTTTTGTCACCCCCGCCCCCCACCTTCTTCTCTCACCAGGGGTTCGTGAACAAGCTGGCCGAGTTCATTCACTGGTTACAGGAAGCCATGGAGAGCACGGAGAACTGGGCGCCGCCCCGAGCAGAGACGGCCGGCCTGAAGCTGTACCTGGAGACCCACTTGGTAGGCAAGCTGGACTGGCTCTTGCCATCAGTAAGGGAAGGGTTTTGTTTATGGAGGATATGCATTTTATCTCTCAGAGGTCACCATGTGTTAATGAACCTAAGCTTTCATGGGATAAGTTGCTGAAGCTTAACTTTTATAGGCATTTCAATTAATACTATGACAGCCTAATCCTCTGTGTTGCCAACTATTTTTAAAGTCTCTCTCTCTCTCTCTCTCTTTTCGCCCCTAGAAAGGTAAGTACTTTTAAAAATACGGCCCAGGAAATTTCCCTGGAACCTTACTCTCCGAGGCAGTGATGGAAGGGTTTCGGCTTTCTTAAAATGAATAAATAAATAGAAGACATAATTTTTGATGACCGTTCTAAGCTTTTTAGAATTCTTGTAAAATTAATGAAGCCCTCATTATCAAGAGGGTCTGCTTTATCTGTTCCACACTGGGTTATTTTAATAAAATATTTAAAATGATGATCTCCATCATTTTTGCTGGTATGTGGGCTTTCCAGCATCTCATTACTATAGCTGTCACTGCCCTCGCCCCTGCGCACGGGGAAGACCATGGTGGGGAGTGGAAAACACTTGGATGAATATGCTTCTGAATACGTTAGAGGCAAGAATGATAGACTGGGGGGCGTTTGATGAACCTCCTGAGGTTTTCACTGAACGCTTCAAATGGCCGCCATCAATTATGAAGGGGTGGAAACCGAGTAGTGGAGTGTGGGAAAGCATGATGGGAAAGCACGTTGTCACAGGAAATGAAAATTCAAGCTTTAAGAGCCTCATCTTCATTCCTTTCACTGATAGCGTAAAATTGACGAAGGCAATGAACACGAGTCCTTGGGTACCCAACTGTGGGGTTGATTTCCTGTCCCTCTCACACACGCAGAACGTGGACGGAGTGAACAATCTGTGGGTGTCCTGCATAGACTGAGCTCACAGGGATCCAGACCTGCTTTGTTTCGGGGGTGTGTGTGTGATGTTAAATATGAGGCAGAGAGAGAGAGAGAATATGGAGGCTTTGGTTTTTCCATTATGTCTCATCCTGCGAGAACAGTCTGGCAAGCCTATTGCTCTGTGCTCCCTGCCTGGCGGATACTGCAGACCGAGGGAGCTGGCTGCCACGAGAAGAGTTGTATTGGTTCCTTTTTTAGAGACCTGAGTTGATGAACTATAAAAATGCCAGTGACCCCAACCACCCCTCGTGTACAAGGGTTTTTAAATACTGCCCTTAGTACTCAATTCTCTAAGTAGAGTCTCATTTTTTTTAAGAAAAGAGGGCATTTCATAATAGCAAGACAAAGATATTCAGTGCTTTATAATGTAAATTGTATTAATTAGAATGTCAACTTTTCACTGGCATTGTTCTGACAGAAATTCTAATCTGTATTTAAACAGGAGTAGATGAACTTTATTTCACATGAAGCGCACTGCCCTCCTTTCTCTTGATTTAATATTTTATGGAAAACACATTTTGTTTTTGAGGTCTCAGAGGGAGTGGGGACTGGGGGGCAATAAGGAATCCTTTAACCCTAAGCTATTTTTTTGAAATCCAGCCTAGGAAAGTATGCCTCTTAGGAGAGTGAGTGATGCACCTCTTTGTCACCAAATTGCCCTCTGATTTTCACACTCCTGTGTGAGCATTCGGTGGCAGACCTCCCTGTCTGGCCTCTGTCTTTTTCAAGCCCCACACTGTCACCTTCACCCGGGAGCTTCTGCCGGAAGGAGATGGTCCGGGTCTGCACAGCCCACTGTGGAAACCGCTGCCCACTTGCACCTATTGAGTGCTTGAAAGATGATTAGTGCAATTGAGGAATGTATTACCATTCATTGAATTTAAGTTAATTTATATTTGCATTTAAATACACTATTGGACAGCAGAGTTATAGCTTTGAAAATTGAGAATTCTATCCCACCACAAACAAACCCCCCCCACCCTAAAAAAAAACAAACCACTGCAATTTGGTTGATTCTGACTCACAGTGACACTGTATGAGACAGTGGAACTGTCCCACAGGGTTTTCAAGGCTGTACATCTTTATCCACACAGTTTCTCCTGTGGAATGGATGGTGGGTTCAAACCACTGACCTTTCGGCTAGCAGCCAAGCACTTTCATGACTGTTTCCCCAGGGGTTCCTGGAGGGGATCAGGCCATGCAGCAGGCATCCTACCTGCCTTGCCCTGTGAAAATCACTGGGGCAGAACGAGGGCAGGGTCAAAATCAGCAAGAAAGGGGCTTCAGGTGTGTGTCTTTTGAAAAACAACCTTGTGTCTGCCTAATGAATCCCTTCTGGGATGAGCTTTCTCTAACATTATGTCTGATGATATTACACGGAATAAAGATAGCATAGGAACATCTTCTTTATTTCTGCCTTCGAAATCGTGACTGAATAGAATCTCCAGGCTCACCCACCCGAGGTTAGACCACAGTCTCCAGGTTGACTTCTGGAATTTGGTAATGCAGAACCATTGCTAAAGACCTGGGACGCACGGAGGGATTGCTACTGCAGGTAGACTCTCAAACGCAGTCAGCGAGGCAGCTCTGACAAGTGGCTTCAGGATAATTAAGAGTTCTTGTTCGGGGAGGGAGGGGAAAAATGAGGACCTAATGTCGGGGGTTTAAATGAAGAGAAAATGTTTTGAGAAACGATGTACAAATGCGCTTTACACAATTGATGGGTGTATGGATTGGGCTAACAGTTGTATGAGCCCCTAATAAAATGTTAAAAAAGAAAAAAAAAAAAGAGTTCTTGTTATGCTCGTAAAGGAGCCCTGGGGGGCGCTATTGAGTAATGCTTGGCCTGCTAACCTCAAGGTTGACTGTTCAAATTGGAGGCTTTCTGTCCTAATGAAGATTTACACCCTTGAAAAGCCTACCCACGGTTGGACTGCTATGAGTCAGAATCAACTCATTGGCAGGGCCTGGGTGATGCTCTTAGATTGCAATGTCTGTCTGTCATGTACGAGCAGCCCCTTGCTCAAATACCTTCTGAGCACGTTCTGATGCTTCCTGTCCAAGTTTGTGTTTACCAGGCTCTCCTGATCAATCTGATCATTTCCATTCTTCATCAGGGTGCCTTAAAGAACACGTACATGCAAGCTGAGAGAGGCAGACTCCTTGTTCGCTGAGCATAAATCGTCACCGCTCCTGTGTGAGTGAGCTAGTGGCATTTGCAAAATTAGCCAATATGTTGAGCTGGCTGGATGAGTTTCTTTAAACGTCGTTGTGGGTTCCATAAATTTAACATTAAATCAACAGATGCACAAGCTCCCGGGGTCAGAGTTTCTGCCAATTTAATAATGTGCTCGAGTACTTGGCACCCTTCAGAATTTATTGTACAGAAAAACAAATAGAAACACAATCGCAAAAGTTGTACATTTATATTTTGATACTTAATTCAATTATTTTCCATGATGGTAACCAAGGGTTTTCACCAACACGAATCAATTAAAGCTTCACAATACTTTTATGAGCGATATGAAGGAGCTTTATTTTAACTGCAAGAAACACTGTGAAATTGCAATGATACATCAATGATTTTCCATGATAATTAATCATCTGCTTGCAACCTGGCTGCTCCTTTCAAAAATACAATTCCGATCTTCTTAGAAAATGACATTTTCAGGAAAATGTCATTCAGGAAAGGTATTTTGCACGTAGTGAACATATCGAACATTCCTTTTCTTTGAAAACCACTTTCAAAGCAGCATGGAATGAAAGTTCTGACACCTCTCTCACTTCTGTCCTCTCCCTGCTAATTTTTTTTTACATCCTTGTCAAGATAGGGTCGATAGGAGCACAATACATTGTACATGTTCCGATGGGAAATGTTGATGTTTTCGTAAACGTTTCTACCTATTAGGCCATCATCACAATGAAGATACTGAATCTATCTTTCAGGTCCCAAAGTTTCCTCACGACACTCTGAAATCTCTCTCCCCCGCTTTATTAATTGACTTAGATTTGCAATCAGAGTAATGGTGCTCACCCTTTCACAACACACATCAGGTTCGCGTCACGATGAGTTTGCACTTTCTAGAATTGTATATAAATGGAGGCATAATATGCACTCTTTTAAAAAATCTGGTGCCTCTCCCCGCCCTACAAAGCATGGTTATTTTGAAAGGCATTGTGCATTGCGTGTATGAATTTCTCAGTGCTCTTTAGTGCTGAGTGCTATTATATGGCTATCCCATGTTTGTTTACTCAAAAAGTAACATAACAGACCAACCACATCCTCTCCCAGAAATTCCATTACCTTGTCGTTTGCTCTTGCAAAGATACTACCACTCTGCCAAATCACTGTCCTGCATTCCTTCCTCAAGTGAGCACCATATCATACGCAGTCCTTCACAGGGAAAGAAACCGGAAGTCTGTCTGTCGTTTTTGAGGGTCGCCAGTCTGGTATCAGTAGGAGAAAGCGAAGTCAAACAGATACCAGCAGCCATGCAGGAATCGAAAAGAGAACCAAGTACAAGGCCCAGGGGCTTACATTTGGGAAATAAATTTGCATGAGCAGCACCCTTTCTTGGTCAAACATCAGCTAACCACACAGAAACAGCCTCGGAAACACATAATTCCGTTTGAAAAAATGAGACCACCTGGGGGAAGAGGGTGGCTGAATCCAAGGCCGTAGGGAGCGAGCACTTCCAGGTGGTAGGAATACAGGAGAAACGAGCTTGATCCTTTCCTTCCAGGGCTGGCAATCTAAGAGTGGTGGTGGTCATTATTTGCAGTCCTCTGCAGACCAGGGAATCAGTCCATTTCCATAAAGATTGACAGCCCTGGGAACCCCACAGGACTGTTCTGGTCTGACCTATAGGGTTGCTGTGACGCAGGATGAGTGGCAGTGAGTTGCCTGTTGGTTTGGTCCAGACCCACAGGAGTCCAGGTGTGGTGTAGTCGGCGTTCTCAGCTGATGATTGAAAAGCTGCAGGTTCAAGTCTACCCAGAGGGGGGTCATGAGAGAGACAGAAGTTAGTGTAGTACCATTTTGATCTGT